GGCTGTTGTGAGCAGTGGTTGCATCTGCGCACACGTGCGCACACACACAGGGGCTCTTAAAGTGTCCGAACAGCTGGATTTTATTCTGGCATGGTTGACCTATTTTGATTCATGATAGGAGTTACCAATGGCCATTAATCTGTTTGTCATATATTATAGGCCAAAACCATCCATATTCGGTCTGTAAGATGCACCTAAATTTTCACCCACTTTTTTTTGGGGGGGGGGGAAGGGGCGTCTTACAGTCCGAAAAATACAGTAGGTGAAAACCGTAGGAACCTTAAGAGTCGGTTTTCACCAGGTTGGTCCCAGTCCAATAAAGCTATGCTTTAAGGAGCTCACCTGCCTCGGAGGTTGGCTTGCCATGGGTCTATTACTTGGAACGTTACCTGGCACACAGGTGGTCACCCAGCGGAGATCGGACCAGGTAGGTGGCAAAGCCTCCCATCTCTCTCTCCTTCCCTCTCTTCCAGGTTCCGACCTTTCGTGCCTCACATCCCCTTCGACTTCTACGTGGTAAGTGGGGCCGGCTGCCTCCAGGGTGGTTTTGGAAAGCTCCACCTTCTAAAAGGCAGGAGATGTGGGCAGAGGGGGGGGGTCCCCAAAATCCCCTTCTGGATGGGATCTTTCTCTCTCTCTCAGTGCGAGATGGCTTTCCCCCGGGTCAAGCCGGCTCCCGATGAAACCTCTTTCAGTGAAGCCTTGTTGAAGAGAAACCAGGATCTTGCTCCATCGTCTGCTGAACAGGTGCGTCCCTCTCCCCCCCTCCAAAGTCTTCCCAGCGCAAGATTTTTTTTAAAAAAAGTCGGTTGTAAACACCTTTTTTAAAACTATTTGTACCCAGGCCACACACCGGTTAACTGCAAATGAAATTTTTATACGTTTTGTATGTTATAAAATAAAATAAAAAGTTGGTTGACAGGAGCTTAAAACTAATTAAGGCTGCAGCTCTTAATTTCCCTGTTTTGAACACGCTGAGAGGGATGGAGAATTTAAGGCCTTCTAATGCTCTTTCTTCTTCTTCTACACCCTCTTCCAAATTAGGCCTCCATTCTTTCACTGGTCACCAAGATCAACAACGTGATCGACAACTTGATTGTGGCACCGGGAACGTTCGAAGTGGTGAGGTTCTTTGTCTTCTCCCTAAGGGAGGGGTGTGGAGAATGGGTGTGGGAATACGGGTGCGTTTCCCAAACCAGCGTTCAACCGGCCAAGGGAACGTTAAAGTAGTTACATATTTATGGGACTGGGAGTGAGTTTCCTTGCTTTGCATCCCAGGATATAACTTCAACTGTAGCTAGTTACACCGTAGCCATGTTTAACAAAATAATAGAGTTGGAAGGGACCTTGGAGGTCTTCTAGTCCAGCCCCCTGCTCAGAAGACAGAATAGCAAGAGTTGGAAGGGACCTCGGAGGTCTTTTAGTCCAACCCCCTGCTCAGGCAGGAAACCCTACGTTTGATTCATCACAACTTTCCTTTGCCACTTGCAAACCGAACCAGTTGTGGTTGCGGCAAACCCAGAACAACCAATAATAATAATAAACTCAATAACCTGTTTTCATATGTGAATGCCGGCTTCCTTGTCCTCGCTCCTTGATTGACAGTGCGCATTTCCCGACAAGCAATCTGCGCAAGAAGCTTGTGGTCTCACACACACACACACATACACGACACCCTTTGCCTGCCTGAAAATCATACATATATATATTTTCCTCCCGTCTTTTTTTCTCTCTCTCCTTCCCAGCAAATCGAAGAAGTCCGCCAGGTGGGCTCGTACAAAAAAGGCACCATGATGACTGGCCACAACGTGGCGGATCTGGTTGTGATCCTCAAAATCTTGCCCACGTGTAGGTGTTCGGGATCGGGAGGCGGGATTTCAAAAGTGTGGGGGGGTGTTTGTGTGTGTCCCCCAGTATTTTGTGTTGAACTGTTCCTTCTCCTGCAGTGGAAGCTGTCGCTGCTTTGGGGAACAAGGTAGTGGAGAGCCTTCGCACCCAGGACCCCGCGGAAGGTAAGAGACGGATCCTGCCGAGTTTGGCGCCACCCGACTGGGAGAGAGATCTCCCCCCCCCCCCAAAAAAAATACAGCATCCGTAAGATCACGAATGAGCTTCCTTCTCTTTCCTTCACCTCTCAGTGCTGACCATGCTGACCAACGAAACGGGCTTCGAGATCAGCTCGGCCGACGCCACGGTGAAAATCCTCATCACCACCGTGCCCCCCAACCTCCGCAAGCTGGACCCCGAGCTGCACCGTAAGGAGGGCGGGCCGCTTCCTCCCTTGCGGGGGGGGAGGAAAGGAAGGGGTGGGTTAGGCTTAGGACGGAAGTGCCAGGGGGAAAAGGAGATGGGCATGCGTGGCTGGCAAGCTTGGGGGAAATCCCAAATTTTCAGCCTGCTTTGGGGATCTTTTTTAAAACGGTGGTTTGAAAGCGAAGGATAATCAGTGAATAATGAAATTATTTCTCTCCCCCACCGCAGTGGATATCAAAGTGCTGCAGAGCGCCCTGGCTGCCATCCGGCACGCCCGCTGGTTTGAAGAGAACGCCTCGCAGTCCACGTACGTTTATTTATTTTTTTCCTTTTTTTTTTTGGACCAGGAAGCTGTTTTCTGTCCTTGTAAAAAAGAAACAGCAATTTTTTTCCTATTTTCCCTGCCGTTTTTTCCAACTTCTGTTTCACCTCGTTTTTGGCTGCCTTATTGCACCTTTAATTTTTGGTCTGTAAGCCCGGCTCTTAGTGCGGCAGTCCCTACCGTTAGCGCCATGTTTTCACAATCGTCCCAAGACACCGAGAAAGTCGTCCTTTCGCTCCCGGCGCAGAACGGGCGTCCGGTTGTCATTATTGTGCATGACTTGAAGGCGGCGTTTGCGGACGTGTGGCGGGCTCACCGACCCTCGATTTCTGCCCCCTCCCCCCAAAGTGTCTTGGCATCAGAGAGGGCACAACCGCCCCCTTTTTTCTCTTTTTCAGGGTGAAAGTTTTGATCCGCCTCTTAAAGGACCTCAGGATGCGTTTCCCCGGCTTTGAGCCTCTCACGCCGTGGATCCTCGACCTGCTGGTAGGTTCCGGAACAAGCGGGGAAGTGTCAAAGAAAACTTTTAAATTCCCAATTTAGATTAGCCAACTGCTTTCAGCTGCTAGTTTTCTTGGCGCCTGGCTTCTACCCGCAAGCCCTCTCCCTCAGTTCTTTTGCGCCGTGTGGGACTTAAATTTCTTACATTTCTGGAAAAAAAGGCAAGAGGATTTGGCTGATCTGTGGGTGGATCTGGGCAGCCAAAAACAGCGGAGATGGAAAGAATGGTTGGATTGAAAATGAAAGATGTGGATGAGGACCCAAGGGAGGAATATAGGAGTTAAAAGAGAAGAAGGGAAATTTCCAAAAGGGTGAGAGATGGATAAAAAGGATCTTTTTTCTTAAAAAATAAGAAGAAGATTGGCTGTACCGAGAATTAGAATAGATTAAACAATTAGAATTATTTTTGTAAGCCGCCCGGAGTCCTTCGGGATTGAGCGGCATATAAATTTTATTAATAAATAAATTAGAATATTGGTATACATGTTTTTGTATAACAGAAAGTGAATGTCAGAGGTTAGGATTAGATTTTGAAAAAGGATGATATCAGATATGCCCAAGAATAGTATTATATTAAAAAGATGTAGTAAATATTAATTGAAAAAGGAATACGTCCTGATATCTATCTATCTATCTATCTATCTATCTATCTAT